TTACGAATCAAGAATGCATTAACAGCAATATTCAACACAGTAATAACATGCAATAAAAGCACTGAAAAAGATGTAATGAGAGCTAGCCCAATCAAAATTATACCAGAAACAAAGAAAGATGAAACCTTTGTGTGCATCTCAGACACATATGGAAGAAGATACTGCTCGTCAGTGCCACATAAAAAAAAAAGTAGTTATTGGACCCTACACTGTGTAATAGAGATTGTTTCCCAAACAAGGAATATAGTACAGATACAAAGATATGGTCAGTTTTCTTCTCAAATGCACATACAAAATTATAACATAAAGCCTCTCTCACAAAATCATTTAAGTTTTAGTTGGTAATTTAACTATTTAAAACCTAATGTTCAGAAATTACACACAAAACTACTTGGAAAGTTTGTCCAGAATAGAGCGGAACTCTGCTATAAAAGGAACAAAATGCCTTTAGCTTGGGACTGCACAGTATTATTTGGAAAATCTGGAATGAGAAGTCATAATTAGGGACCAGGTATCCACAATATGTAGTAATTGCCACTACTGGATAAAATGCAAACACCGAGTACAGTAAAATTTCTTAACAGCACAGTGAAATTAAATAAAGTTGCTTTGCATTGATAGGAAAATGCAAGCTTATTTTATTAGTGTATGAACAGTTTAACTTCTAATGCAAATGTGCGACATACACTGTGCTGATGGCTCTCCAAAGATAGTCAACGTCTACTTTCTGTGACACATCACTAACAGAGGAGCTAAGCAAGAGATGAGATCTCCACTTGTTGAAAACTGTGACACTCTTTAACAGGTGGCTGAAAAACTTGCTTATGGTTACATTCTTAGCAGAGATGCATGGTTTAGCCAGCTCAGCCTTGTGTTTATTTTACTCTAATAGGATAATGTAATGAGGTAACATGGTAAAAGGCTTAGGACTACATCTGCACTACAGAAATGTGATTATTTAATAACATGACACAGTCATTTGGTACTGACAGAGTTTTTCACAAAGAATTGATTTCTTATATATCATTCCTTTAATCTGAAACTTCAGAAGCCCCCTTGAATGAGTCACAACTGTTTAAAGAGGGAAAAAAAAATGAGTCAAGCAGGCAATAGTTATTCTAAAGGCAAGAAATTTTTCAGGAGAATGTTCTTTAAATAGGCTTCTGCAAATGTTTTTTTCTCTAAATTGTACACACTCTTGCTTAGCCTTTTTTTTTTAATTTTTAAAAACTGTTTTCTTCTTTTATAAAATATTAGCAGGAGAATGAAAGGTTGTAAAGATAGTCTGACAAGTAAAAAAATCATTACATCCATGAGACAGTCATTAGCAGCTTCTCCAGGGGACAGAATACTAGGAAAAATGGTATCATATTTCAAGACAGTGAATCTGTTATTGTTCATTTACTTACTCTTTAAGATACTCTTTACATTATATTTAAAGTTTTATTCAACTTTTCAGTTTTTCAGACTAATCTTTTGGCTTGGGCATCTGCCACATTTTGAAGGAAATAATTGATAACATGGGCCAAGAGAGAACATCAAAGGTTTCTCATAAGCTCTAAAAACAGTTTTCAAGTTTCTTTCCTTTGGGCTATAATTTGAAATTTGACAAAAAGGTCAGAGTCACTTCAGAAATGGGCGACTTCCAATCTTCATTGAAATCTATTTTAAATCTGACCAAGTTATAAGCCTCTGGACACCATCCTCAGTGCAAATGTGATGACAGTTACTAGTTCTCCGAGTATTAATGCTTTCATTGGGTGTTTACTCGTCCTTCCTGTTTGCCATATACTAACAAACGAGTGAGCATTATGTCCACAAAGCATAACCCATACCACAAAATACAGGTGCTATGAAATTAATTCAAGCTGGCTTCCAGAAGCCATGAAAATGCTACCCTAAGACACTAAGAGCAGGGAAAGTTGTCTTTACTATTAATATATATTCCTAATCACAATCAGACAGCATGGAAGAGAGAGAATTAGGATCCAGTGAGAATAGCAAAAGATGCAGTGTAAAATTATTTCATGAGGTGAGTCAGAGGCCCACACTGAAGCCTGAAATATCTTGGGAAAAAGAAAAAAAGAGATATTTTGCGTGCTACTGAGAAAACAGACACAATATTTGGATACACAGTTGTAAGACATGGGCAACTAGGGGTGACCACTCGGCATGAGTAATAAAGATGATGAGAATATAACTAAGAGTGTGCAATTGCAAACATTTCAGGACCGTAGAAAAAGGTTCAGCATTAGCCATGTTACATTAAATTCACTGGAGGACATCCAAAAAAGGGGATCAGAGTGAGAGAACAAGACTTTTAAATAATGTTTCTATTCATCTCAAGCCATGAGCAATAGATCCTACAGCTAACAAAACTTACAGAATTATTTCCATAAGCTGTAACCCAACAGATTTTTAAAAAAAAAAAAAAAAAGCTAAGTTAAAGGTCAGAAATTCATGGGAACAGTCACAAAAGAAGAAAAACAGGGATTTAAGGAAGAGTTTCAGTGGGAAAAAGGTTAGCAATTCTAAAAAAAATACATGCTAAAGGAGTGAGCTGAGAGACTTTGTAAGAACCAGACTAAGATCAAACACAACCAGCAGCCAGATGAGTAACATTAAGGAAGAAGCAAGCACAAGAGCTGGACGTAGCAGGGAGGAAGGACAATGGGGTGGGAGACAAACCTGGCTGGGACAAGAACAAGGTTACAAGATCTTTCTTGATGGCAGTTACAGCTGAACAAAAAGGACACCAGCCAAACTGCAGAAAATCCAGGATGGAACTGGGGGAATATCTGATGAACTCAGAGATTAAGGAAGAATATGAGGCTGGCTGTGTTCCCAAATCTGTAGTAAGGTCAAAGATGATGTATCTCTTAACTCTAGATGAGTGAATTTTAAGTATTACTTAAGGCTAGTCTAATTCCTCTGTCTTTGAAATCTGTGGTTACATAAAAATTAAATCCTGTTCTCATGAATTAAAAAACAAACAACAACAACAAAAAAACTAAGCAAGAAAAAAGCCAAGCACAGACATGGAAAGAGAGATGTAAGAGGAGACATGAGTCACAAATCTTTTATGTCTTTTAAGACAGCATCACTAAGTTTTTTTTTCACACAAATAAGTTGATTATTTCCATACATAACTATTAGCATTTATTTTCTGTAAGATACTTTACTTACTCTAAGAAGTGAAATCAGCTAGGAGAAGCCCAATTTTGAAATTCTCAGCCACTAGAGTTTATGCTGAATGTTCTAAACATTTTCACCCTTGTAGGACACACAATGAAAAAAACAGGTAGCTGTTCCTGCAAAGTGGCCACTAAGGCTGAAGCAGAAACATATTCCCAAAATCAACAGCAGCAGCACTCACCTTTGTGCCATATGAAATTCAATTCAGATCCTAATATTCAAGACAGATGTACACTCCTTTAAGCAGGATGCACTACTAGTTGCATACATGTACACAGGGCCTTACACCACTTCCAACATTGCTTTACAGGAGCATGATCTATTTAGGTGACTTCCAGAGAAAAATAGTGACAGAGCGTTTGTGGCTTAGTGATAGGCCAATTCAAATTGAGATAACTGCTAAGCCAGCAACATCTCAAATTGCTGACACAATTCATGTGGCTCTAGACCAGGCTACCCTTTCTTTTCAGGAAGTCCATCTTGTTGGATACGGTGAGTGAAAGATAACTAGAATAATTCTCTTACTCACATGAAGTATGGTATACCAGTTAAGAAAAGAGCCTCTTCTGCTTCTTTCCAATCTTTCAGTTAAATAAAAAACACTGCTATACTGTTTTAAATAAAGTGAAAAATAGGAAGTATGTCTCTTCCAGTAACTTTATCAAGTATATTTAACCATAAACACTTTCAGATAATGTGTGATTTTAAGCTGCCTGAATAACCTCAATTTTATAGTCATGCTACAATTTTCAATTAATTTCAAAAAAGTTTGTAAATGTTTTAAACATTAATAAAAAAACCCAAGAACCAGTAAAACCCAAAGTTTGCATAGTGTTAGAGAGAGATCATAGAATAACTTTGTAGAAAAGCTAGGCTATCTAGGAAAGGGTGTTTGTTTTAAGATTTCATGGAAAATATTTATTCCACTGATTTTTTTCACACATTGCATTTAAACTTTTCTGCAGGAAAGATGAGAAAGATTTTGAAATTTAGAAAGACTCATGTTCTTTCATATCTATGCCCATCAGTTTTTGCGTATTTCTAAACAAGCTTTAGCTTAATGTGTAGAACAGGGAAGATCTTAACTACACCAGTAAGGTACTATGTAAATTAATTAACATTTGCACATTATTTTAAATTTAATTAGGAAAAAGAAAAATCCCATTTCTCTTCAGTTACATAAACCAGTACAAGAAGTCTCAAAGATAAAATCTAAAGGTGAGGATCATTTTAAAAAGTTCCCTCTTTCATGGATTGTACAGGATCATGCTATAGAAAGATACCATAATGTTGAATTCATTATTCAAGAGGAAGGAAAAGTATGTGAGGCAATGACTACACCAATGGTACGCAAACACCACCAGTAAAAGCACTGTGGCCAGACAGCCCAAAGGCACAGGTAACACTGTAGCTGGAATGTCAGCAAATTAGCACTGAGTTTTTTGACATGCTGTTTTCTGTTGCTCCTTTAATTTATATTTTTGGTGAAGCAGGTATTGAATTGAAACACTGACAGTCCTATAGAGTGCTTTGATTCAGAAAAAAAGACTTAATGAAAACTAAAGAACAGTATAGTAAACTGCAAGTTTAAAAGTTAAGAAACCAACTTACAGGAGAACCTTTTAAAACTCACACACACCTGGATACAAAAGTGTACGCACATGAGCTCAGAAAAACAGCTGACCACTCTCATAAAGGCAATTTTCACTAAAAGGACTAACAGAACTCTCTCAAGAGTGATAAGACATTGTCAAATCACGTCCTGCTTGGCAAAACAGGCAACAGATAACTTTCTCAGTACTTACATCAAAAGTGGGTGTGCTTTGCTGGGCACTCTGATTGCATGGTTCTCTGAAGCAGTCAGTGAATGGAAGCAAAAGACCCATTGCAATAATGCGGGAACACAGTTTTTCTGCTTCTTCTTGTGGCGCATTTTCCTGCTGGCTGAAGAGCTTTTCCAGCAGAGTTCGTCCTGTCAAAGATATGACACAGATCAATAAGAATCTGTAGCTATCTATGGGACACTAGATCGAGGCATTACAATGTGCACCAAAAACCTCAAACATTAGAAGTAAAAATATGAAATAAAAAAATATTGAGAAAAGTATCTGATTATAAGATTTAAATATAAAATATTTCTATACCATAGTTTGAACTGATCTGTAGCCTGATTAATTAGGATATGTAAGAAGACATACATTTTGTTGGCTGCACTGTAGAGTAGGAACAAAAATCATGAGATGCTATTGTAACATCAATTTCCTATTTCTTTCTATTATACAGTTGTCCTGATGGGAAAACTGAGATACTACCAAGAAATAAAGTAACTTTATCCTAGGATGTCACACTAAGTTATTATAGAATCCAGTCTCCCAAATCTTGAAATGAGCCTTTGTTTTTTGAATAATAAAAGGATCAGTCTTTAAGAAATTGTGCTCTATTTCTTGGGAAAAACTGTAAATAAAATAAAATTTAAAAATTACAAAAAAACAACAACGCTCTCTGATAAATATTGTTTAAAATTGTATTTAATAAAGCTCCAGAGCAGCACAGTGCTCCAAGTTAAAACACAGTCCCACAAGCAGCAAGTCAGAAAAGTAAAACTTTCAAAGAGTGAAAAGAGAGACTGATTCCTATTACAAGGTCAGAAATTGTGATCAAATTGTTTTCTTTGTTATCCTACCAGAGCATGACAGGAAGGTGTATATTATAAAGCATATTTTGGGATACAATGCTAGAGGTTTCCAAGACCCTTGTGCTGCATGCAGTTAGCTAGCAAGAGACTGCAAAAACTGATGATATATGCAGGCTGTAGAAAAATCAACATTGTAAGAATATTAAATTGCTTGATTAAGCTCTAAAATGTCAAATGATGCCAAAGTTCAGATTTCCAGGATATAAAGATATGAAATATATCTACTGAAAGAGAAAAGGCAGAGTAATAAAGTTAATTTCATGTTTTAGTAGGCACTAGCCGTGAGTACAATCTGTACTTAAATCAGTTTCTACAGTCTCCTTTTTCTACACACCCACTGGAAGCCAAAGGTATTTTCCAGAAAAAATACTGCATTGAGAAGTATTTAAATGACATCTAAAGTAGCAGCACTAATAACAGGAAAAATAATACTTTGTGGTGGTGGTGAAAATGTAAGATTTCCCAGGCTTTTGAATATAACAAAAAGATAATTTTAAAACATCTAGATACAAAAGATATATTCTAAGTAGCATTTAGGTTTCTGTATGATTTTAACTTTGCATGAAAAAGGAGCCTAAAATAAACAATACATTAAGAAGTTAGAAGTGATTTCTAAGATTTTCCTCACCACATCTCAAGATCTGCTAATTCTGAATTGTTAGCCCAAGTTTCCTAGCCTTTTATTAGAAATAACACAATATATTTAAGGGGATAAGCCTGGGAATAAACTTCTAAGATACACAAGTTTTGCTGTTCTTGCTGATTAGTTTGCCTGTTCCTTGGTTTCACCACCTATACAGTGATGATAGCATAGCTGCTTATTCAACATGTCCCTCTATTTAACTAAAGATACAGTCCAGCTGTGAAATCCTCAAAGTCATTCATTAATTGAAGGCAGGCTTCCTTACTGCCTGCGATTTTTAACAATTTGCCCAGTTTCAGCAATGCCTTACATGACAAAAGGCAACAGAACAGACCATGGCAGCAAAGTGCAAACAGGAGCTACCTGCTAACAGATGGTTTTGTCATTCATTTTAGAATTTTTTTCTTTGGGGCTGCAGTTACCAGTGCTTAGTGGTGCTGTAAAAGACCAGTTACAAAACCCCTAGCTACTACCATCTTACTGCAATAAATGGATTCTCCTAGCTATGAATACTGAGGTTAAGGTATGTAAGTAAGTTTCAGGAAAAAAAGTGCAAGACTGGCAGCACACTGACACCTGAGCTCCAATAGGTAGCATTTCTGCGGCAAAGCACATCATATTACCTTAGTACCACCTTGTATCACTGATTAAAGTTCAACATGGAAAGTTGGGCAGCTAAACAAGAGACTGCAAGTGATGAGGATGAACGAAAAAGCCAACGCTTTACATTTATATAAAATGCACAGAAGGAAAAGTAGTTAGAAAATATACCAGAGGAAGACCACTCTGCACACACACAGAAAAAATAGGATTATGCAAGAAAGCTACACATTTCTTCATGCTATATTGAATATCCAAATGTCATCCATGACTTTTGAATGTCAGAGTTTAATATTTTTTTAAAAAATATATTATTACTTTTTTTTTCTGGATGTTTCAACATTTAAATAATCTTCTCATGTGTAGAGCCTTCTGGACATCCAGGAGCAGAAAAGCCCTGCCCCTCCACCTCCTCATCCTTTTGTTTTAACCTAATTAACAGGAATAATACCCATGAATGACAAAACAGGAAATTAGGCCATTTTTCCTTTAATCTACCCATTCATTTGCTATTTTTTAACAGCCTTGCTCAAGATGAAATACTTTGTTCACAATCTTAGTTGCCATTCAGTTGCTGTTTAATGTGTATAGTGGTTATTACCTATCATTGCTTAGTGATTAATAACTATTTTCTAAACATATTTAAGCTTTCAGATGATATGGAATAAGTATACATGTAAAAAAGTCACTAATGAAATGTATGCCTCTTATTGTACTTTGTATTATTGGTATTTGCTCCATCTGAGCCTGAAGTGTTCTCTCCAGTGTGTTAGTCTTGGGATAAATCAGGTAGTAAAAATTATTTCATTACATTAGCTAGTACTTTTTAACCTAAAAGAATCTATCCTTTAATTCAAACTACCTTTAGTATAATTAAGCTGTCCATTGCATCAAATATGATACAAGTAAAAAAAATATAGGCAATAAAGCTGTGCTATAACACATCTTGCATTTTCCTTACAATTGCTATGGAGACCTGGTTGCAAATACATAAATTTGAATTGCAAAAATACATTTTGCCTGTACAGTTAAGAGATTTTACCAAATGGAAGCTGAAAAAAGTTCACATTTCAATGCATACAGAAATAGATTCACTGTGAACAGTTGTTAAAGAAAATAATAAATCTCTGTAGCAACAATAAATGGTTTTTATGTTTAAAGCACGTACTGGGCAATATATTTAGAACAGATTGCTATGCCACTTGAAGTTTTGTACCTAACCCAGATATTGCTTATCATCAAATCAGATGGTCATTACAAGTGTCAGAACCACCCATTATGGAGTGGTTGCAGCACTGTAATTTCAGACAAGGCTAAAGCTATTGTACATGGAAGAACAAGATTCGAAAGCCGCTGCTTACTAAGAAGTTCCTCCATTAGTAAAGGCACCTGATCTTTCTCTTTCATCTACTTTCAGGTAAAAGCCAGTTGTCAGTACAGCAGAAGCATTCCAGATCCAAAGACTTCCGTGGCCCAGGAAGGCTGGTAGCAAATTTGCCCTGCCTCTCTGCCCTCTGACCCTACCTGTACTTGTACTAACGTCAAAGGAAGAGACATTCTTTCCTCTCATCAGGAATCACATTTTATGATTTTGATTCAGGGAAGGATGAAGGTATAGCAAAATACCTCTTTAACACTCCACAGACTTTTAATTACTCTTGTTTGGAATGAGAAATGGATCGCCAGCACCCCATCTATCTGCACTATACATACTTGGAATTACTTAAAATTTAAAAGACTGTGTATGTATGTGTGAAATTGCACAATATTAATCCCTAAAGCTATTCTTTAAACAGCGAAACCAAAATCATATACACAGATAGGCTAAATTCCCATCAACTTCAAATGAAAGACTTTGTGCTACAATTTTTCATCCTTTGTTAAAATGCAGCAAGACCAGTTTTTTTCCTCAGAGATCATTTATCACTTCATACTGATAACTTACATGACATAATATCTGAATCTGTTCTAAATAGGTGAAGATAAAGTGTAAGCAACCTGGAATAATTAAATGATTAATTATTTCATAGTTATTAAATGATCAGCTGCTTTCTATTACTGGAATTAAAATACCATGGTAAAGCAATTTCCCTTGGTTGTCTTTACATGCCATGAAAATAGTAAAGAACAAAGATCTCTCCTCTCTTCTTATTTATTTTTTTTTCAAAGGTTAAAGAAACTTAAATGCTTACTGCATTTTTTAATATTTTAGACAAACTTTCTTCCCAGAAATCCCAAGTTATGAAGTTCCTGGAGCCTATTCTTACCCTTCTCCTAAGTATTAGTTCGGTAGGGGATGGGAAACATATCAAGTTTTGAGTTAATGACAAAATGTAGTTAAGTTTCAGCCTTAGATCAAATCAGTATTCTGCAGATCTTACCAACTTACCAAAACCTTCCCACAAGTAACTATAAACTCGTAAGTTATTTATTATGAGCTCTGAATAATTTAATACATCTCTGTACGGGATAAAAAGACTTTATTTACAAAGGGCTCACAATTAAACAATCAAAAACATAGGAACATGAAATTATATTTGGAAGTAGCAGGTACTCTGGCCTTCTATGGGTATTTTGAGATATATGTATTTTCTACCATAGCTCAGCCTAGGTCTCCCGACTCAGCTTCCAAATCACATGTTCTCCACCTCCATGTCACCTGCCACTTCCTCCCATTCTCATTAAGATGAAGCACTATGATCTTATAATCTCCTGTATGACATTATAGCTCTTCATCATATCACTATGAACAAACCTTTAGTAACATTGCTCATTAAAGCCACCTCTGGCAACTACTGTAGAACACAAACTATTCATTACAGAATTAAAATACACAAGTCCGAGTATGGTGTCCTTTCATACTGTCTCCCTTTTAAAAATATGCAGGTAATTGTATTCTTGAATGATCATTTTCAAATTTAGATTTACTGTAATCATATTTACTCACATGCAAGGTGGAGGGAGAAAGGAAGCCTGTATCACCGAAAGTAATTATACAAACATATTCATATAATAATGAAATATTTAAAAAATA